GTCGATTCTCCAAGCCCCCTAGGCAGCTCTGTGGCAGGCACCGGGCTCCCAGCCGAGTCTGACTTTCAAAAGTAATTTGTCCCGCTCAGCCCAGCGAGGGTAAATAAAAGTCTCTTATCCTGATTAATCTATCCTTCTACCCCAACAAGGTGAATGGAAGGTGGCACAAATAAGGGTGAAGAATGTGTGGTGGCTAGAGTAAACAGCCTGCGGGTCAGGCTCCGCTCCATCAGTCATAGCAGGGGTTGCCTCCCTTTGGGTCCAGGGCCCCGAACATTTATTTTAGGCCAACAACCGCACCGCTGAGGTCACGTTTGGTGATTAAAACAGGGAGCAAAGGGAGGTGAACACACTGAGGTTCTTCCTACAGCTTCCTCTGAGAAATAGTAAAGTCTTGAATCTATAAACCAGGGCTATTCAATAAGTTTGTCATGTGGGTCAGTTCATGAAAATGAATGATAATAAATAAATGAATGAATGAATAATATTGATGCATTTTACAACAGACTTTTTTTTTTACAAACATTCAAATGTTGTATTTTAAAGCACAACAAAAGCAGTGCATTGCTTAACTCAAACCATTTGAGGAAACCGATTGCTACAAACCATTTGAGTTAAAAACTAATCTATACGAGTACTGTAAACTTACTCCAGTTAAGTTAAAGTAATGAGGTATTTAATTACCTCATTACTTTCAACACTGAGTTCAAGTGAGTACAGTTAACTTTCTGTCAATTTTGACTTAAAGGTGCAGTAGGTGATTTTCTTCAGAAACGTGTTGTTGTGCTGGTTGAAAGTCTCTTCACGTTCCAATAGTAATGGTTAAAGTAAATGATCTAAATGTATTTATATGTATTTTAATATTTTGGGTAAGGCATAAAACTAAAAAATGTTTGTGCCGACATCTCTCATAATACCGATAAGTAGCTCAAACTGTCTGTCAACAAATGCAGATTTGAATAACCGCGCAGCTGTTTGTACGCAGCTCTGCCGACCGCTGTTTGTGCATAGACGTGCTGCGCGTTCACGAGAGAGAGTGCACGAGCGCGCGCGATCAGCAAAAACATGCTGAATTAAAACTTGTTAAAAACCTGAATCAATATTGGAGTCACCTTTGCACGCTGGAGAAAGGATGACACCATGGCTGAAGGATTTCTCTTAGGCCCCGTTTACACTAGTGCGTTTTAGTTTTAAAACGGCGTTTTAGATCAAAAACGATCCGTGTCCACACGAGCGTTTCACCTAGCGTTTCTGAACATATCTCCACACTACGCCACTAAAAACGCATATCATGTGAGCATTCGCGCACTCTGAGCATGCGCGTTCTAGTATAAACAGAAAGCATGTGTCACGCTCGACATTTAGTTATTGTTAGTCAACAAACGCCGGTTGAACAATGAACGCGATGGCAAGGAGAGCAAGAGAGGTGTTTTTGTGGACAGACAACGAAGTCGAGTTGTAAACAAATGAATAACTGCACAATCATGCCTAAAACAGACTATAGTGCAAGCAACGCTCCCATTTCTTTGTCCATGTTGTTGTTTACAGTGAAGGCTGGTCTGCTGTCTTCCGGTAGGGTTAAAGCCATGTGGAATAGTCATTTGATAGGGGCTTGACGAATAAGGGAAGGATACGCAATGACACAAAGCCCCAATCAGGTAGAGAGTCTCAGCAGCCCCGCCTCCGTTTTCAGATGTCTCCGTCTTTCCCTCATCCACACTGAGACGGAGCAGCAGCGTTTCAGAATGAAAACGGCCTCTCCAGCATTTCCAAAACGCTCCGTTTTCGGCACTCTAAAACTCTGGCGTAGTGTGGACGGATGGCGTAACTGTAGCAAAACTTATACATTTTCAAACTAAAACGCATTAGTGTAAACGGGGCCTTAGAAAGGTAATGTTCTGTTTTAAAACTTTTTTAGCTTCACGCAAAGCTGATGTAACGTTAGATGTTGTTACAAATAGGTTATATCTTCACATAAGTGTTGTTCAGCCACTAAAATCTTCCAGTGAAAGATTGATAAGGCTATTTTCAGTTTCATAAGGGACCTTTTACAGCATCGATAATGTAGATTTTAATTAGTTTAACAACAAAACACAAGTAAATAGCGCTATTCCGCCTAGTCTCTCCCTATGTTTACCATGCAACTCTAAATATTCGCTCTGAAATAGCATGTCAGTTTGGCTTAGTAATGAGAGTAATTCCTGTACTCCGCCGGACAAAGACTAGTCGCTTTTAACACATGAGAGAAGGTTCTTCTGCTGTCATCTTTAAGGTGCGCATGCTCCTGTTTCAGAAGGTGTGGCTCTGGACGGCAGGGGAGGGACTGTGATTCAG